TTCCACCCCCTACCTCCCCATGTGGGCACAGAAACTTCTGTCCCTCCTCCTCTCCTCCTCCCGCCCCTGCCAGACCCTGAGCCCCCAGGGAGGCAGCAACCAGGACCCGAGCCCCCAACATTTCACTCGGACAGTCTTCAAGCACGCGGCAATGTTGAGCAAGAAATAGAAGGCCCGTGCTCAGATTCTGCAGTCGATGTCGTCTTTACCTGCCCGACTCTGACTCTGTGCATTCACCCTCCATCCGTCTTCTTTTCCCTGCATTTCCAGCTCAGCTGCCCCGAAATCCTGCAGCCTCCAGAACATGACTGCAGTGCAGAGTTTGTCTGCCTCTCTCCTTACTGTTTTTTTCCCCTTGAGTGAACCGACATGGAATGAAATGCACGAATTCCCAAAAGGGTTTTCTTTCAGCTTTGAGGAATGCATTCGCCTTGTAATTCAAATGCCTTTCAAGATCACAGAACATTTCCATCGCTCCAGAACGTTCTTTCGTGGCCCTTCCTGGGAAATCCCTGCCTCTGCTCGCAGGCGGGCCTTGGCCCATGTGTTTTCCCACCTAGAAGGGTTCTGCCTGTTCCAGGACTCCCTGTCAGTGGGCTCCTGGGGTCTGTAGTGCTTTGTGAATGGCCGTTTCCACCCAGCCCCAGGATTTCCCGAACCCTCCGTGTCCAGACCCTAAGCTCCTGTCCTCCATGGCACGCCAGTGCCCGAAGCCTGGAGAGCTCACCAGGGCTGGAGCACTGCTGCTGGAGGAGGAAACGACTGTGAACCAAGGAGTGAAACTGCTCCGTGCCCCAGGGGGCCTGGTCTCACTCCGTCCCTCTGGCTTCTCTCGCCAACCCCGCCTTGGTCTGGGATCAGGGGCTGTAGTCCGAATAGCAGAGACACCCCAACTCCTGCCCCCAAGTCCCCGGGCTCTCACAAATAACACAAGGAGTCAGGCAGATGCTGCCCGCAGCTTCCTGCCTTCCCCACTATGGGCTTCGCTTGCAGCTTGGCTTCCTCCTCTCCTGCTCTTCTGCGGAGAAGGGCCCCCACCTGGCTCTAGCCCAGCTGAGATCCGCCCTGGGTCCAAACGGGCCTCCGGAGCAGTCAGCACCCCCAGACACGGCTGGGGGCGCAGAGTGGGGTGCCCGCTTTGCAAACTGGTTTGGCAGTTTCTTGTGAGAGGAAAACCCTCACCTGCTGTCTGACCCACTGCCAGGTATTTGCCCCAAAGAAGTGAAAACTTAAAGCCATAAAACATCTGTACAAGGTTTGTTGGTGGGGGTGGGGGTTGCCGGAGCAGCAGGGCCGGCCGGCTGGTAAAGCATGGGGGGCCGACTTCCCAGGGCAGCTGGTGATGGTGTCCTGACTGCCTACCGATGCCCCTCGGCCCTGCAGACGCTGACTGACACAGGGCCCCCTACCTGAGGAGTCACAGGCCCCAGTGAGGCCCCTGGGCCACCTCCCAGGTCGGGGCCACCTGCTTCCACTGGTACTGCCCACATGGTTGGCCTGTGGTGGCCCACCGCCCTGGAGCCTGAGCGCAGGCCAGTTCCGGCCCCGGGTGCAGCCCCCTCCGGTCCCCCGACGGGCTGGGAACAAAGCTGTGAGCCACAGGCCATGGGGTGACGTCCCACTGGGCCAGAAGGCAGAGTTGCCTGGACTGTCGGGCAACTTTCTGCTTGACCTGCTGGAGCCAAGTGGGGGCCAGCCCAGACCTTCCATGGGAGGGGCCCAGGACGATGAAGGCGAAGGGCCTGCAGGGTGACCCTGGCCTCCCAGACACCTCTACCCAAACGTGCCAAACGTAGAGGCGCAGAGGGCCAGCCGTTGAGGTGAGGGGCCAGTGGCCCGCGACCTCCCAGGAGGGCAAGACTCGTGCCACACCGTCTCCCCTGGATGCCCCTGGGCAGGAGGTCTTCGAGACCCTGCCTCCCTCCTCACCCACACAAGCCGCTGCTGTGCCGCTGGCCCAGGCTCAGGAAGGTCAGCAGGCCCAGGGCCCCGCGTCTCGTGCCCTGAGAGCATGGCCAGAGCGCCTGCTGAGGAAGCACCTACCCGTCCGCTCAGACGACAGCCTCCTCTGGGCCAGCTGGAGGGCTTCTCCGTCTGACCCGACCTGACCTGCAAGACACGGGAGGTCTGGCTGTGCTGAACCAGGTCCCGGCTGGTCACGCGCACCTACAAGGCCTGCTGTGAGAAGCGGGAGCTGATGGACAGGGAGATGCGGCTGGACAAGGATCAGGAAGGCCTCCTGCACCTGGTGGGTGGTGCCCACGACAAAAACAGGGAGAGGGGCAGGAACCCACCACTGACTGTGTTCCGGAGGAGGGTGCCACGTGGGGACGGTCCCCAGTGGGGCGAGCACGGGAATGTGTCCCACCTCCCCACAGTGTGTGATCCCAGCCGTGTAGGCTTGCGATCCCGAGGGCTTGGTACCTGCTTCCTCGGTGCTGCCCAGAGACACAAGGGCAGGTGTCAGGATCCCGGCGGGCAGCTTGCTGAGGGGTAGGCACACGGGAATGTCTCGGTGCTCCCACAACCGGCCCAGCCTCATAGGGACTCAAGTAACTGAAATAATGTTACTCTGGGGACTGGCTTATTTCCTTATTTCCCAAGTGCTAGGAGTGTCTCTGATCTCCATGGGGACCCCTCGGCTCATACCGGAGTTGATACCAAGGACGTGGCTCAGGGTGGGGACTGACCACACCAGAAAGGCCTACCGGGGCTGGGCGGACATTCACCCAGCCAACCCCCAGGGAGGGGAGTGGGGCTGGAGAAGCAGTGCAGGCACCGAGCAAAGATTCGCCTGTCACGCCTTCATCATGAAACCCCTAGAAAAGCTCCACACACCAGCGCTCACAGGAGCATCCTGGCCGGGGAGCACGTGGAAGGGCCGTGGGGAGAGAACATGGGAGCTCCGTGGGAGCCCCGCCCCGCCCCGCCCAGCCCTCACCCTGTGGGTCTCCTCGTTGGCCAGCCCGAATCTGCGTCCTTCACCATACAATTGTACGTGGAGGGCTTTCCTGAGTGCCGAGTCATTCTGACAACTTAGGGAGCCAGAGGGGGTTGTGAGAGCCTCTGCATTTGTTGGGGTTGGTCTGAATCTCCTGGTCAGAAGTGGGGGTGGCTTGGAGACTCCTGAACTCGCAGCTGAGGGGCGTCTGCACGAACTGGGGCACTACAGGAAAGCATCCCGGATTACCCGCATGGGCCTTAAGGTGCAACTGCAGGTGTCCCTGCAAGAGGGCAGCAGAGGAAAGGGGCCCAGAGGAGAAGGCTGTGTGACCATGGTGGCGAGATGCTGCCCTCCCGGCTATGCGCTGGAAGGGGCCGTGGCCCAGGAAACACACGGGGTGCTGCTGAGGAAGCTGCAGGATGAGGACGCGGCCCCCCCCACCCCCCCCCACCCCCACACACACATACACACCCGGAGTGGCCCAAGGGAGCCTGGTCCTGGGACACTGTGTTTCGGCTCAGCAAAACTAACCTTGAGCTTCTGTACTGCACAGAATGCCTGCTTTTTCTTTAACCCCTACCCAAGGATATGTTTATTGATGGTTAGAGAGACAGGGAAACATTGGCGTGAGAGAGAAACATCGGCCGGCCAGTTGCCTCCAGTACACGCCCCGACTGGGGAACAAACCTACAACCCAGGTAGGTGTCCTGACCGGGGGTCGAACCCAGGACTTTGAGAAATACGGGATGACGCTCCAACCAACTGAGACCCCTGACCAGGCCCTAAGCCACAGGACGTGTGCTGTCCTAAGCCATCCAGCGGTGCTCATGTTACAGCGACCCTAATGGACCCGTGCACTCCTGCAAGCTGACCCTCTGGGAAGCTGCCAGTCTGGCTGACAGTTCACTGGGTGTGCTCTGTGTCCAGGGGTCAGACAGCTCCCGGGCCGGGCCAGGGCCTTGCTCTGAGCCACACGTGGAAAGGGCACAGAGAAGGGCGGGAGGGCTGGCTGCTGACAGCACTGAGCGGCGTCACCTGTGCAAGGTGTGTCGGCGGTGTCCTTTCTTCCTCCTGCTCAGTCAGTGCTCTCGGGCCTGGGCACCCCAGGGGCCACCAGCAGCTTTGGTTTTGCACTCAGTTCTCACCCCTTAGTTAGACCTGACTCCCCTGGAAATTTCAGGACAGCCCCCAGGGCCCAGGACAGGGGCAGGAAACCTGGGGAGAAGGGTGAATTCAGATCAAAACCCCCAGTGGATAAAGCCAGGCTTTGTGGCCCCCTGTACCTGCCTGTGGGGCTCCGCCCCACTTCCTGCCTTCCGCCACCCTCCACGTGCTGAAATCCCATTGGTCCTCGAAAGCTCATCTTCTCTGGACGTATTTCCCCATTGTCCCACCCAGGGGTCACAGAACCTAAGTGCCTGAGACACAAGGCCCCTGCTGCTCAGATCCCAGCAGCCCCTCTCACACCAGCCTCAGGGCCTTGTCTCAGGCCGCCTGATGTTGCCACAAGGCAGTGACAGTGTCTTCCAGAGAAGGGGCCACCCCTTTGGTATCTCAGCACAATCTCTCTCCCCGAGGACACAGTTGGCTCCCTCAGGCCCGTCCTGCATCACTCACTCCTGGATTCCTCCACTGAGTCTCTCACGGGTCACAGCAGTCCTGTGCCAAGCTGGACCAGAGTGCGACAGTCAGGCGCAGGTGGGAGCCAGGACTGGGCCTGCCTCACTCGTGTGTCCCCAGTGTCTGCACAGCCCTCCTGGCCCAGAGCAGGCCAGTCACTCGGGTTCAGGGCATCATAGAACCATGAGGACACTCAGAGAGGTCGGGGGTCACTCGCAGGGGATCATGTCATGGTCTTTGGGATAAAGCTCAGAAGGTTCCCACAGCTGGGAGCCAAGGTTCATATCTCAAACGTGTCCCCCATGCTCCCTAGGGCTTCGAGGACAGACACAAAACCCCTCTCCTTGAGGCCTCCCAGCCAGGGAAGAAGGCAGGAAGACCAAACAGCTCCATCTCTGAGCCATCTGACCTCGGCTGGGGGAGGGACGTGGGGGCCAGATCAAAGGGCCCAGGAGCCAGGGTTTTGGAAGAGGTGGAGGTTACGCTAGGTCCGAGGGGAAGAGGTTGGAGCGGAGGTCCCAGATCGCAGACACTGGACCCGGCTGAGTGGGGCTGTTTCTCCTCAATAGCGGTGGGCGGGAGAAGAAAAGACACACACACCAGACGGTGGTGGGAAGAACCAGGAGGGCCAGCAGCTGAGGGACGACACGGGCAGCTGGTGGCCTGGCTCAGGCGGCAGGTGGTCTGGCTCAGGGGGATTGGGTGGGCTCAGCAGCTGAGCCTCTTCTCGCAGATCCAGCTGTCCTTCTCACTGTCGCAAGGAGCGTCGTTCCATAGCCCGGTACGCTGCATCATGACGCAGTCCTCGCGCCCCCAGGGAGTCATTGGGCTCACCCCGGTTCCAGTGGCTGCAGAGGTTTGGTTGGGGTGTGGTTGGGGGTTTGGCTGAGGATGACCCTAGGTCCAGCCCATTTGTTGGGTGGGGCTAGTCTAGACACCCTGAGGGTCTAACCTAAGCAAGGCCCTGGGATATAACTTTATAAAGCCCAGAATCTGTGCCTCAGCCAGTTCCTGGTGGCTAGCTTGGCCATCCCTAAGGAGTGCTTGAGATCTGTCCAATGCACTTGTCCCCAGGGGCTGACCTGTCTCCTTCCCCTCTTCCCTTTCCTTACCTGAAGCTGAGCGAGACTCCGTCTATCCACTGATAGCTCTGGACCTTGCTCGCGTGGCGCACGGCCCTGAGGCCCAGCCAGTAACCGCGGCCTCTTGTATTCCGACTCAGGAAGCCCTGGATGGAAGGAGAGATTAGTTGGCTTGTCAGTGGCTGCCGCCCACAGACACCTCCCAGCCACGACCCCTGCGGTGAACTCCCCATCCCACCTCCGACCACACTGCACTGGCCACCCACCTGCTCCTCCAGGTTCCTGACAATCACCAGGTGCGCACCCGCGCCCGCACAATTGAGCTGCGCCTCTTCCCATCTGGCCCGCACCACCGAGAAAAAGTAGCAGGAACCCTGGAAGGGCAGCCACGACGTGGGGCACTGCTCACAGGAACCTGTGGGGTGGCAAAGGTCCATGAAGCTGACTGCTCCCAGGTGCAGCACTCAGAGGGAGTTGAGGGTCGCAGGGGCAGAGCCATGGAAAGGGCGGATTCCGGCGGATCAGGGACCCACCGGGCCCGCGGGCAGGTCCACTAACCCCCCTTGTGCACGCCCACGCCCCTTCCTGCTCACTGTTTCCAGCTCGGACGGCCTCCAACTCCCGGAACAGCTCGCTGCGGATGTTCTCGCGGTCTCTCCCGGCTTCAGCCAAGCTCTGGGTCACTGCGAGGTCACGGGAGTCCAGATTGTATGTGGGTAGGGTCGGGGTCAGGAGAAGGGTTGAGATGAGGGGAGGGGCAGCATCACCGGAACCTCGGGGTCGAGGACCGTTATAGCGAGGAGGGTCCCCGTGGGGGTGGGGGTTCAGAGGTGTAGTCCACGGGCAGCGTCTAGGACTCAGGGTCAGGATGGGGGGGACAGGATCGGGGTTAGAGGTCAGGATCACAAGGATCAGCATGTAAATCACGGGTCGGGGCACTGGTATGGTGAGGGATCCGGTGTGCGTCCCAAGACTGGGGTCCCTCACCGCGCTCGCTCAGTTCTTTCAGGGCGCTCTGCTGCTGGATCAGCTTCACCTGCGCCTCCGCAAGCTCTGCGCGCGCGGTCTTCAGCTGCGCCTGCGTGTCCAGGCCTAGGAGCGGCGGGGGGGGGGCGGGGGGTGGGGGGTGTGGGGGGGGGGATGGGGGGGGGGGGGGGGCGGGACGTCTGAGATCTCCTACCCTTGAGTCCACAGGACCCGCCCCCAGCCCACAGGACCCGCCCAAACCCGCAGGACCCGCCTCTCAGCCCATAAGTCTCACAGCAGCTATTGCAGGCTCGGAACTCTTCCTTCAAGTGGCCCAGCACCACCGTGTGCTCCGAGGCTGGAAAGACCCCCCGCCCAACGCAGACACGCCAAGTCACCCATGGGGACTCGTGAGATACCCTTCACCACTCCGGGGGCCAGCTCTGGGGAGCCTGGGGTATCCGCCCACCTACTCACAAACCCGGGAGCCGGTGGTCTGCACGCACCGTTTGCTCTCAGCAGGTCCTGGCGCCGGAGCAACTCCCCCTGCTGCGTGGAGGCTGTGGAGAGAGGCTCCTGCAGGCGCGGCCCAGGGACGAGGGAACTCTCCCCTCGCCCGAGGGGTGTGGGGGACCACAGTCTTGGGACGCACACAGGGGGCGGGCAGGGGTACAGCGCACACGATGCACCCTCGAGCCGAGCAGAGACAAGCACACGGGGCTGTGCACACTCATTGTTGCATACACATGCGCACAAGTGTGGGTGCACACAGCTCCAAGAGGCACACGAACCGTTCGTTCTCAAGCATTCACCCTCAGCCCCAGGCTGGGATCTGGGACCTAGCCGGGGCGCCCTGGGGCAGAGGGAAGAACTAAGCAGGGAGTTGGGCTGGGGGAGGGCTGGGACACAATCTCCCCCTCCTACATGGTCACTCACCCTTGGAAAGTAGGATGCTCAGGATGAAGGCCCACAGGACTGCAGTGACCACGAGAGCCAGGGCCAGGAAGAGGAACCGCCGTCCCCAGCGTCCATAGGGCCCTTGGGCAACAAGAGACTCCTGGGTCCCTCAGTCCCAGGACAGTCCTGGCTCTCTGGGCCCCGAGGACCATGCCCTGGACACTCGGGTCCCAGAACACCAGGGTTCCGAGAGGTTAAGTGACCTTCCTAATGGCCACAGCCCTTCGGTGATGGAGCGGAAATTTGAATCTACATCCCGTTGCCTCTAGAGCCTGTGGGGTCTCTCCTGCACCCACGACTTGCTCCCTCTCTAGGCTGTTCTCCTCCCTCTCCCATCAAATCCCAATTAAGAGGGACCCCAGGGGCCCAGTGAAGCAGTCCCACTGCTTGCTCATACCTGCGGGGACCTCGTCCAGCCCGCCACCCCACTTGCTGTACCCAGCAGTGTCCATGGTGAGCAGGCTCCCAGCCCTGGACACTGATGTAAATGTAGCCCCCTCCTCCCCCCAACGCACCCCCCTCCCCCGTTTCCTTCCTTATCATCTCCTGCGTGTCAATTCCTGGTAACAAGGACCCACTGACCAATCACAGGGCTGGCCGGCCCTTTGTGGGCTGAGCTGGCATTAAGGGTGAGGTGGGGCAGGGGAAGTGGAAGAATGCTGAGTGAAGGGGGGTGGGAGACTGCTGTGTGGGGGGGGTCTGTGCTGCAGAGGGTGGATGTCCATAGGAAGCAGAGCGCGGGCGTGCTTCTGAGTGTGTGTGTGCAGGTGTGCTTGCTCACTATCAACCTCCCCGGGCTGGTAGCTGCAGCAACATCTGCAGGCTGGTGTAGGGGGCTTTGCTTTAGAGCTCGGTCTCCACCTCTTACAGGTCAGAGACTGGGCTCCCTCCTTACAGGGGCAGCCTGAACCTGTCCAAGCTCCAGCCCCTCCTGGGGGGGGGGGCCTGAGAAAGCCCCCTCAGGCCTGGACCCCCGGGCTAGCTCAGCTTCCCTCCACCATTCTCCCACAGTTGCGTGCCAAAGGCTGACTCTTAACCCAGCCCTCCGCCAGAAGGGAGAACACAGACGGTCAGCTGGGCTACTGGACTTCAGTCTTGGGCAGAGGGGTGCAGGGTGTATGTATGTAGCTTCCAGCAGCCTCGGTTTTGTCCTCTGTGCAGAGGGGCACAGTGACGGGGACTGTCTCCAAGGGATGCTGTGACAAGGGAATGAGGTCATGCATCTCAAGCGCTGGCACCGTCCCCCAGGCACAAAACCCACTGCACACTCATTCATCCTTTCAACAAATACTGAACACGCCCCCAGGTGCCAGGCTTCGATCTCGGAACTGGGCATCGTCCGTGGTGGCGCACAGTCTGGTCGCACCTTACCGGGAAGTGAACTGCAGGCCGGGGACCCGAGCAGGCAACTGCACAGCGTGGATCAGAACTCACCACAGGGGATGTGCTGACGGGAGGACTGGCCCGGGTGGAACAGCGGGCCCTGCAGTCTCTGCGGGTGATGCCCACTACCAGACCCTGCCACTGTGCTTGTCTACCGCGTCCCGGAGGTAGCAGGCACAGCAAGGCGTGGGGATGAAGAGGGCAGCACATGCCAAGGGCCGCACGTCCTGGTGGCCTTGTGAAGGACACTTCCTTCAATGGACACTACCACCAGTTTGATGTTTATCTCGCTGGTCACGCTGCTCTGACCATTAATGACAGAAATATTTATGGCCACCTGTCAAGGAGCGCATCATCACTGACCAGAAGGCTTCAAGTGCTTGCTAAGGTCACTGAGGGTGGTCACGGCACAAACCTAGAACTCAGGTGAAATGCGGACCCAGAGCTGGAGCTGGGTCTGGGCACGTCTGCGTGTATGAGCCAGCACCCATCAAGGCCCAAAGGACCCAATCCCCTCCTGGCAGCAAGCTCTCTAGGAGGGGGAGGGAGGAGACAGTAAATAATGAGCTTAATGAAACAGGAAGTTGTCTAGAGGGTGGTTCTCACCTGAGGGCCATTCTGCCCCCCACCCAGGGGTCCATTGGGCCAAGCGTGGGAGACTTCTGTGGTCGCCACAAGTCCGGGGGCTGGGGGGTGACACTGGCATCTAGTGGGAGGAGACCAAGGATGCTGCTCAATACCAGACTCAGTACTGAAGGTGAGAACCCTAATATAAGACGTTCCCAGGTCCTAAGGGCTATGGGAGGAAGCATCAGGTAGGACAAAGGACTGGGGAGTGCTGGGCTGGGGCAGAGGCCACTGAATCAGATGGTCAGGGTAGGCCTCGCGGAGCAGGCGAAGTGTTATTTTGCCAATAGAGCATTGCCTACGTTCCAGCCCCTCTGCAGAAGTGCACACACAGCCCTGGAGAGGGGCAGGGCATGGTTTCAGGAAGAGTGTGCTCAAGCTGCGGCGTGTACCAAGTCCTCATTGAACTTTACCTCAGGGCAGCTGCGTGTCGTCCTTACTAATACACCGCAGTGCCGCCTGTGTGTGATGGACCCAGATGCAGTCGTCACTTCCAGGTCGGGGCTGGCCTGTCCACTTTCTGGCTTGGATTTGGACACCCGCTTGCAGCCAGCCCTGCGTCCAGACAGCGCCGTGCCCCCCTCGCAGCGACCTGGGACCCTGGGAAGTAGAAACCATCTGCGGTTCACAGAGCCGTGGCTGAGAGGTTGATGGCGCTGCAGGACTGGAGCATGCGTGTCTGCTGCCCCGAGGGGGGAAGAAAGAGCGGCCATGATAAGCCCACAGCACTCAGAGAACCACGCGGGGCTGAGCCAGGTGGCCTTCCACAAAGTGGGCGGCCCTGCCCCTTGTCCCAAGGTTCCCTGGTCCCGAGACACAGGCCCGTCTGGCCTCGTCAGCAGAGGTGCAGGTGGAGTAGACAGGCCCTGCCCGCTGACTTAGCAGCGGGTTGGAAAGTGGGTGAGGCAGAGCTTTGCGGGGGCAGGGCGGGGGGCGGGGAACACCCTCCCTCGGGCTCTTGGGGACAGCTGTGCTCAGGAAGGGTGTGGGCCCAGTGGGAGGAAGCAAGGACAACCACAGGGAACGTACGGTTTCATCAGAATGTGTTCTTGGGAGAGGTTCTAGGCGGGATGGACTTATCAGCCCTGGTGCAGGAGAAGGAAGGGATGCATTTGGGGATCTCAGTGGGGCGTTTCAGGAGAGGATGGTGGGGACTGGGCCGTCAAGGGCATGTGCACTGTTGACAGGAAAAGGAAGCGCCTAGCAGGCAGAGGGTATGGCTGAGGCAGAGGTCAAGAGGCGGGAAGATGAGTCTCTCTCATATATATTCAACACCTGGAGCCAAAGCTCCCAGGGTGTGTGTGTGTGTGTGTGTGTGTGTGTGTGTGTGTGTGCGTGCGCGCGCGCGCGTGTAGGGGGCCAGGGGTTGGGGAAATGTCAAGGCTGGTGAGGGAACCAGTAAGCTGCCTGCTTCACCTCCGCCCCAAACCTGCCCAGAATTTGCCTCAGGGAAAACGAAAGGGGAAGGCTGGACCCAGGCACAAGGCTGGCCATAGACTTCTGAACTCTAGCCCTGACCTATAACAGGAAAAGGAGACCCATTTTGGGTGGTGGTGGGGCAGAAGAGTAGGGGAACATGGACTAGGGATTTTAAAACAATGTGGTGAGTCTAGGAAGCACAGAGGACTAGGAGGACCCTTGGAAGCATCTAATGCAGCCTGGAAAAATCTGGGAGGGCTTCCTGGAGGAGGTGATGCCTAGAGAAGCAGAGTTGCACATAGACAGAGTTGTTCTATCGTGGTAAAGTACCCAAGACATGGGTCATGAAAGAGTTTCCCCAACATGATATTAACACAGGTGAAGGTTGGGAGGGGTGAGGGACCAGGCTCCGGAGAAGCTGAGACTAATTCATGGGTAGTAGTCTGGGGCGGGGGTGTCAGCTGGGGCCAGATGATGCCAGGATGTGAGGAGCAGGGACATGGGGGTTTGGACTGATGTGGGAAGAAGGCAAAAGTCAAGGCTTTAGCCCCGAGACCAAGGCCACTCCATGATTTCTGTGCTCTCCAAAGACGGGAGTTGTGCTGTTCCCCCGGGAACCCAGGTCAGCACAAAGACAATGCTACTTCTGGGCTGTTGCTGTGGATTTTGGCTTTGCTTTTTTATTACGAAGTACATTATGCCTGCAGGAAGGTATGCAGAGAAAAAGCTCTGGGGTGATTGGTGTATCTGGACGCTTTATACAAATTGCACCACGTGATCCATGTCCTTCCACAATTTGTTTGTGTTCCCACCACAAAAGTTGCAAGATATGTCTAGTCAACATCCATTCCTCATTAGAGCAAAGGTGAACACAAGAACACACATGCTTAGTAAACAAAACCCAGGATAAAACTTCCTTAATTTGATAAGTGGTCAATTCCAGGAACCCACAGAAATGTCTCACCTACTAGTGAATTTCTGAGAACCAGTTTTGGTAAAAGTAAGAACGAAATGAAGATGCCCGTCCTGCTGTTTTGCCAATGCAATAAGAAAATAAAGAGAAAAATAAGACCTACGAATACTGGAAAGGAAGCGTCAAAGCTGACGGTGTTTTGAAGCTGTGATCGCCCCTCTTAGAAAGCCCTAGCGAATCAACTTTTGGACTCGTTGAGGGATGCAGCAAGGTCAGCTCTCCATAAGCACCTGGAAGTGAGAGAAGCAACACATCCTCTTCCCAACAGGAGGAAGCCTTAGAGAACTGAAGAGTAATTGTGACGAGAGCACAGGTAAAACTGTTCACCTCCACTGAGATCCGAACAGATCAGGACACAGCACGGGTTCCCCAGAAGGACACTCGGGGTTTTAAAGAGTTTCATTCTTCCTGAGTTAATTTATAAAGTCAACGCCATCCCAATAAAAAATCCAAGTAGATTTTTGATGGAGTTGTTTCATCATGCTCAAATGCACAAGACAGAAAACTTGCCATCTTAATCCCCTTTAAGTATATTTTGTTGATTACGCTGTTACAGTTGTCCCACTTTCTCCCCCTTGCCCCTCTCCGCCCAGTACTCCCTTCCATCCTGTCCCTGGGTCCCGTGTGTATGTTCTTTGGCTTCTCCATTTCTACGCTGTTCTTAACCTCCCCCACCCCCCACCCCTGGCTGAGTCTACCCTGTACCTAACAATCATGCTTCTTAATCCCTGTGCCTCCCCCCCGCCCCGCCCCCGCATTCTCCTCCTTCCCCTCCCAGCTGATAACCCTCCATGTGATCTCCATATCTATGGTTCTGTTCCTCTTCTGGTTGTTTGCTCAGTTTGTTTTTGTTTTTGTGCTTTTAGATTCAGTTGTTGATAGTTGTGAATTTGTTGCCTTTTTAATGTTCATGGTTTTGATCTTCTTTTTCTTAAATAAGTCCCTTTAACATTTCATGTATAGTAATGGCTTGGTGGTGATGCAATCCTTTAGTTTTACCTTGTCTGGGAAGCACTTTGTCTGCCCTTCCATTCTAAGTGAAAGCTTTGCTGGATAGAGTAATCTAGGTTGTAGGCCCTTGCTTTTTGTCACTTTGAATAC